ATGGATGGATGGATGGATGGATGGATGGATGGATGGATGGATGGATGGATGGATGGATGGATGGTCAGAACTGGCAGGAATTTTAATTGAACTAGCGATAATACAGTTTTAGTTTATCTATTGTATTTTGGTTTTAAAGAAAATGGATTAAAAACCTGTTTACAGATGATTTAAAGTCACATATGAAAAAGAAACTGGAAAAAAACAAGACCATGAATTGTAAAGAAGAACATTTTTTAAGCCCTTGTTGGATTAAAAACCCCTCCGGTTTCATTCCAGCTGTCAGAAAACCCCCCAAAAAGATCAACCTGCAGCTGGGAAAACCAGTGTGTGAGGTCAGTGAAGGTGCCACGCTGCTGGAAAATGGAAGCTTTCATTCAAAAACCTTCCCGTTAAAGTGTGTGAAATCCGCTCCCACCCCTCCCTGCCCCGAGCCGCGTGTCCCGGTGTGGCGTTCACTGACCTTCTCCGGCTCCTCGCCGCTCCAGGCCTTGACGATGCTCATGTGCTTGTTGAGCTGGCCTTTCACGGCCCGCTCGATCTGACTGTTGAACTTCATGAAGCTGACGTAGGACACGTAGCCCATCACCAGCATCATGCTCTCCCACCACAGGATGGTGTTGTCCAGGAAGAAAACGATGAGCATCATCAGGTCCAGGATGTAAAAGGTCACGTCCCGGAACAGGGGCCACCAGGTCAGGTGGAGCATCTCCCGGGAGAAGATGGCGCACATGCCGATGACGAAGAGGATGTTGAAGACGGCCGAGCCCACGATGGTGCCGATGCCCACGTTGCTGTGCGAGATGAAGACCCCGATCAGGGAGGTGAAGAGCTCCGGGGCCGAGCCCCCGGCGGCCATGAAGGTGGCGCCCGCCACGTCGTCGGAGATCTGCAGCTTGGTGGTGATGACCTCCAGCGCCGGCACGAAGAACTCGTCGCACACGATGGCCAGCGCCACGAACATGTAGGACATGCCCATGACGTGCAGCGCCACCCAGCCCTGCCGCCGCTCCTCCACCGAGAACAGGTCCTCCGGGTAGTCGCCCTTCTTGTGGGGCGGCGGCGTTGGCGGCGGGGGGGCGGCGGTGGGGGGAGGCGGGGGTGTCGGAGGCGGTCTGGGAGGTTGGGGGTCTATGTAGACGCACTGCTCGATGTCCGTCCTGTTGACCAGCACCACCAGAGGAGGCGTGGCGCTCTCCGGCTCCTCCTCCGTCTCCTCCGTCTCATTGGAGGGCGCCACCTCCCGGACGCTGAGCTCCAGGGCGCCGTCCGGCCGGCGGGGCTGGACGGAGGCCTTCAGGGTCAGCGTGTAGACGAAGCACAGCAGCACGCCGGAGACGAAGAAGAGGACGCGGCTGCGCCCCAGTCTCCTCCTCTGAGGCGAGCGCATGTTCACCGTCTGGAGCCCAAACAGGAAGTTATGTCAGACGCATGGCTGCTCCATCTTCCCTCCTGTGCTGATATGTGGCCCGAAGACGCCACTGATGGAGGACAGACAGACACACACACACACACGTAAACAAAGCGGGTCCCATCTCGCTCGCGGGAGGACTGAAAACAGGAGAGCGGCGGCTGGGAGTCACATCCTAACGCCCTCCGTGTGTGTGCACGTTCAGACAAATCTGCCGGAGTGAGGTTTGTGTTTGTTAGGGTGATGGAGGATGCAGACAGCCACCTGTTGCTATGGATACATAATCACTCAGGCTTTGGCTTCTCACAGAAAAAAAAAACCTACAGAAACCTATTAAACGTCTAGAAAAACATCAGAAAAGCTGGATATTTCTCCAAGTAAACGCAATTTATCCAAAAAATCATCACGGTTTATTTCGTGAAAATCTTAGCGCGCGCGTGCAGACACAAGTACAAAAAAAAAAAAAGCACACGTGCGGTCAGTGGTCATTGACCAAACAATAAATTAACTGAACGGGAGCTGAATTAAGGTATCAGTTTTAATAAAGCCAGCAAATCTACGGGTAGAGGAGCGCGTTGGCTTTAATTGCGGGTTAATTCAGGATAACGGGTCTTATGACGCAAGGTCCATCCAAAACATGAATCCATATTCCTGCTCCGTTCAAATACACGCCGAACCGGGCAGGGGGACGCGGGGGGGGGCGGCGGGGCCGCGGGTCCTACCTGTTCCGCCGGCTGCTGGGCTCCTGGCCGCGGCGCACCGTCCCTCCAGCTGCGCGCAACGGACGCAGAGATGCTGACTCCGGTTTTTGGGGAGCTACAAGGGCGCACCGCATGTCAGGGCTTGGACGAAGCTCAGCATAATGCCGCTAAGAGGATTAGGAGCGCTAAAACACCTCTCACCTTCTCTTTCAGTCATAACGCTGAATCAGTAAAGCAACATTCAGACCTCCGCGGTGGGCGCAGCCCCTCCGCGCTGGCAGCCCGGACGCAGATCCCGGTGCCCGCCGGGGACGGAGTGAGGTGGTCAGGGGGGGCCGGAGGGGCCGGTCCTGTGTCACTTTGGGAGTGGTCAGGTGTGGCCAGAGGTGGCCGGCGTTTGTTAAACACTGTTCACATTATTACCAGAAGCTACGTCTGCTCTGAAGGGGAACTGGGACTTCTAATTTGAGTGTTGTGGATTTTAAAATCCCAAACAAGAAAATGGGCATTTTTTGGCTTAATATTTGGCCCATGCTGACCCTTCTGAGTAGAGCGAGTTGACATTAGAATGGTAAGAATATTTGTAATCGTTTGGAAAAAAGTGAATTGCAGGAAAAATAGATGGAAGTTTTCCCTGGAGAGTAAAAAAATATTTAAAACCCTTAGAATGCCCATCTATCTATCTATCTATCTATCTATCTATCTATCTATCTATCTATC